AAGTTTCAACTGGCACTGAAAAACTGGCGCGTAGTATGATTTACAATGGCCGCCTTCGATTCGCGAGTGGCGAACCAAACAAAATTAGTGAGGTACAGCCACACTCGCCAACGTTCCTCGCTGCTAGCTAACTTTGGTGTGGCTTTCACATACACATTTTTAGTTAAGCTAGCAGAGATGGACTCAATCGAGCTGAGAAGTGGCGGATCGAAGGCGGTTATTGTAAATCATACTACGCGCCAGTTTTTTCAGTGCCAGTTGAAACTTAGATTAAGTAAACTGATTTTAAATTGAACAACTGGCTGACATTTGATTGGCTTAGCTTAGTTTGAATCAGCCAGATCGGGCGTTTAAACTGAAAAACTGGCCCTATGAATACTACGATGCTTACCTTTGGTCTCATAAGTGAAGTTCAATTGTGCCGCCAAGTGTATGATAATGCAGCTGGAATTCCATTTGCCAGTTTCTGGTGCTGGGAAAGGCGCTGGTGCGGGTGTAGTGGTAATGGGCGCAACCGTGGTGGTATTTGGTGCAGCTGTTGTTGTAGTTGTAGTGGTCGATGTTGTGGTTGGTGCTGGGGTTGTTGTTGGCGCTGGTGTTGTTGTTGACGTTGTGGTAGTTGTAGTGCTGGTCGAGCTACTGCTTGACGTAGTTGCTGGCGTAGTTGTCTTGGGTTTTTCTACACCTTCCTCTTGCCCAGCAATGGGTAAGGCTGCAGCGGCATCAGGTAATGTGGCATTCTTCAAGGTCACATCGATTTGGGCAGCTGCAATGAAGAGGAAATGAGAGATGTTAAGATTAGACTTTTTTTTAATAATTCAAACATAAGGCTATTTTAATATCATTTTCAAGTTGTTGTTGTTGTAACAGCATACAAATTCCCCAAAGAGTGTGATGCTGGAGTGACTGTTCTTGGCCAGATATAAATCTGGAACGTTCCTGTTACTTAAAGCCGACTCAAGTCAACCAATGCAGATGATTGAACATACATATTTCGAGCTAGGGTGGCGGATTGAACCGCCCGTTTTATGTGTGCTAATAGAGTCAAGATTCATCCTGGATTCCCAGGTCAATAGCGGGAGTTTCAGGCGAGTTTCATCGAAATCGAAACGGGGATAATGATATTATACCCAGCCGAGCTACTGATATGTGTGTACACGCAAGGCAAGTCAACACGTACGCAGATGATTCGCGCGTCAGATGCACCATCAATGGCGCACATTGGGATGGTTTTATATCAATAAAAAAAACAAAAGCGAAATATGAGTGAAAAATTATGGGGATCGTGAATAAAGTAATATTATTTTTGCGAAACTCAAGAAGCTGATATTCTTTTCGGTTCATTGCGTTCTCATACATACATACATATAAGATCATTGTCATACAAGTTTTGATTTCCA